CAATCCTTCTCCCCCCCCCATCCCAATTCTTCTCCCCCCCCCCCCACTGACGTTGTAAAGCTCGTTTTGGACATGACAACTTGTACTTCTCATTGTTGCAACAGGTCCACCTGTATCCTTAAACGACTTGTTTTTCCCCATCTCCTCCACAAGTTATATTGACATACCACTTCCAGGTTTTAAGTGCGTAATTGGAGATAAGAGTCTCATGGGGACTTTTTCTGCCTGGGCTGGCTTTGAACTGCAATCCTCAGATCTCAGCATCCCAAATAGAATTACAGGAGAGAGTCACTGGCACCCAGCTTCCCTGAGCGTTTTTGCTCAAGGCTAGTCTTCTAAAACTTTGAGCTTCAATGCCACTTCTAGAATTCTGGTGATTAATTGGTGATAAGAGTCTCATGGACTTTTCTGGGCTGGCGTTGAACTATGATCCTCAAATCTCAGCCTCCTGAGTAGCTAGGATTACAGCTGGACTTTTGAGTCATCCTCTCCCTCCTCTTCTGCACTTGCCATGGCTTGGGCCTGGCCTGGATACTCTCAACCTGACAGTCAACAACCCCTCCTCCACTTCTTCCTCTCCACAGGCAATTACAGCACAGTAGATGAGCTTCAAGTTTAGATGCCCCAGTGAGGACTAGGAATGTGGCTTAGTGGTAGAGTGCTTGCCTAGTATGCATGAAGCCCTGGGTTTGATTCCCCAGTACCACATAAACAGAAAAGTGGTAGAGCACTAACCTTTAGCAAAAAAGCTCAGAGACAGTACCTAGACCCTGAGTTCAAGCCCAATGACTGATGGGGAAAAATGACTAAAAAAAAATTGTATCAAATCTTACCAAACTAGAACAGCTATTCATACTTGGCTTAATCTGACAAAATTTAGTTGCAAGTGACTTTTTTGTTTACCTGAAGACATTAATAAAAAAAAAAAAAAGAAAGGTCCTTCATTGGCAGGATCCAATGCTATCTGTCAAATTGGGCCAAGAGCTTGTAAGACATAGACTGCTCAAGTAGCCTGGGACAGGTTATTTTTTTGCTCGGTGCTCAGTTTTCTCATCTGGAACTTAGGGAAGATAAAGGCACCTACTTTGTAGGTCTTGGCCAGTGAGCATTTAGTCATTCTTGGCTACAAAATGATCACGATCATTATCATTAAGGATATCTTAAGAACCAGAGTAGGGGCTGGAAGATGGCTCAGTGGTAGAGTGCTAGCCTTGAGCTGAAGAGCTAAGGGACAGCATTCAGGCCCACAGTTCAGGTCCCCAACTGAAAAAAGAAGAGGAGCACAGAAAAATAGGGAAGGGGTTACTCTCCTCCTCTTTGAAGGTGATAGGGGTCTCTTCCTTGCTTGCATCTCTCTGCTGTTCTATTCAGACTTCTTTCCTCTCTTCTAGCTGGATCTCAGGGCAGAATATTTAAGTAGCCAATGCCTGTTAACTAGGAGACTTGATGTTCTTCCTTCCTTCCCTGGTTCCTTCCCTTCCTTGCTTTCTCTTTCCCTCTCTCCCTCTCACTTTCACCTCCCTCTCCCTTCCTTTCTTCCTTTTTCTTTTTTTTCTTTTCTTCCTTCCTTCCTTCCTTTCTCTTTCTTTCTTTCTTTCTCTCTTTCTCTCTTTTTTTCTTTTTTTCTCCCTTTCCTCCTCTTTACTTTTCCTCCTGCTCTCCCTATACCTCTTCCTTTTCTACTTCCTCTTTCTTTCCTTTTCTCTTTCTCTTTCATTTTTTTTTCTTTTTTGCTGGTTGTGGGGCTTGAACTCTGGGCCTGGAAGCTGTCAATCAGCTCTTCAGCTCAAGATGAGCACTCTACCACTTGAGCCACAGCACCACTTCCAGTTTATCTGATGGTTAATTGGAGATAAGAGTCTTATGGACATTACTGCCCAGGCTGGCTTTGAATTGAGATTCTCAGATCTCAGCCTCCTGAGTAGTTAGAATTACAGGTGTAAGACACCAGTGCCTGGCTTCATTTTTCTTTTTCTTTCTTTCTGTCTTTCACTTTCTTTCCCCCCTTCCTTTCTTTCTTCCTTCCCTCCCTATCTTTTTTCCTTTTCCTTCTCTCCCACCTCCCTTTTTCTCTTTCTCCCTTCCTTTCTTTCCTTTTTCCTTCCCTTTCTTCCTTCCTATCTCTCCCTCTCTCCCTCCTCACTTTTTTCTTTCTTCCTCTTTCCTTTCCCTCCCTCCCTCTCCCCATACCTCTTTTCTTCCTTTTCTCCTTCCTTCCTTCCTTTCCTTCTTTTTCTTTTTTCTTTCATTTTTATCTTTTTGTTTTTCTTTCCTTCCCTTCCTTCTCTTTCCCTCTCCTACCTCCCTTTCTTTTTCTTTCTCCCTTCCTTCCTTTCGCCTTTCTTCCTTTCTTTCTATTTCACCTTTCCTTCTCCCCTCTCCTTCCTTCTATTCCTTCCTTTCTTCCTCTTTCCTTCCTTTCTTTCATTTCCCTCCCTCCGTCTCTCCCCCATACCTTTCCTTCCTTCCTTTCCTTCCTTCCTTCCTTCCCTTCCTTCCTTCCTTTCCTTCCTTTCCTTCCTTCCCTTCCTTCCTTCCTTCCTTCCTTCCTTCCTTCCTTCCTTCCTTCCTTCCTTCCTTCCTTCCTTCCTTCCTTCCTTCCTTCCTTCCTTCCTTCCTTCCTTCCTTGTGGTTTTGAGGATTGAATCCAGGGCCTCACAAGCACTCTTTCAGTTAAGCCATGTTCCCAGTCCTTTTGTAGTTTGTTTTGTTTTCAGATAGGGTCTTGTGCTTTTAACCATGGTGACCTTGGACCATGCAGTACCTGGGATTATAGATGTGAAACACCACAACTGGAAATACCTGTGTCACTGTTCCCATTCCAAGTTTCTGGGAAAGAGAAATGAAGTAGCACCACCAGAGTCAGGAAACTTTCAGTGAGCCTGACAGCTGTTGGTATGTATGAGCATATGTGAGGAGTCAAGAGTTTAGAAAAAAAATTTTTGGTAGCACTGGGGTTTGATCTTGAACTTCAAACTTGATAGACAGAGGCTCCACCACTTAAGCCATGCTTGAGCCCATGTCAATAGACTCTTAAGGTTCCCCTTCCCCAGCTTATGAAGCAACAGGCTCTCTCAAAAGGGGATGTATTTGTTATAGCTGCACACAATTTTTGTTTTGCTCAGAGCAATGCACATAATAAAATCATGCTCTACCACAGAGTATGTTCCCCAGCCCCCACAATTACTATTGGTTCTCTCTCAGGGTTTCTGTGGCTCAGGAATTTGGCTTGGGTATCTCATCTCTTATGCCCTTGAAGTCAGGTGATGGCCAGTAGTAGTATCATTTTGGTGGCTTCTTCATTCACATGTCTGACACCTGGGTTGAGTGAGCTAAGGGGGAACGCATGAAATAGCTGGGACCTACTAAGCATCTATTTCTTATTAATTTTATTGTGCCAGTCATGGGGCTGGGTGAAATCAGGTCCTGGGTACTGTTCTTGAACATTTTTGCTCAAGAATATCATTCTACCACTTGAGTCAAAGCTCCACTTCTGGCTTTTTTGGTAGTTTAGTGGAAATAAGTCTCACAGACTTTCATGCCCGGACTAGCTTTGAACCAGTATGCTCAAATCTCAGCCTCCTGAGTAGTTAGAATTACAGACATGAGCCACCAATGCCCAGCTTGCGCCTCTATTTCTATGTGGTGTCTCCATATGGATATTTCAGTATTGATCATCTGCCAAAGTCACACTGCCCAGTGCTGGGCAGTAGTGACTCATGCCTGTAATCCTAGCTATTCAGGAGGCTGAGATCTGAGGATTGCTGTTCAAAGTAAGCCTGGGCAGGAAAGTCTGTGAGACTCATCTCCACTAAACTAACAAAAAAATCAGAAGTAGAGCTGTGACTCAAGTGGTAGAGCGCTAGCCTTGAGCAAAAGAAGCTCAGGGACAGCATCCAGGCCCTGAGTCCAAGCCCCAGGATGGGCGCCAAAAAAAAAAAAAAAGATAAAAGTTGAGATGTGTTATTATGGCTGTTTTTTTATTTTAAAATTTTTTGGGGGGTCCGGTCATGGGGCCTGAACTCTGGGCCTGGGCACTGTCCCTCAGCTCTTCAGCTCAAGGCTAGCGCTCTACCACTTGAACCATAGCACCACTTCCGGCTTTTTTCTTTTTGCTTATGTGGTGCTGAGGAATCGAACTCAGGGCCTCGGGCATGCAAGGCAAGCGCTCTACCACTGAGCCACCTTCCAAGTATGGCTGTTTTTTGAAAACACAATCTGCATATAGATGGATAGTTGTTCTCTTAGCTAATACTTAACATCATTCTATTTTACCCAACAATTGTATCTATAAACATTTCATCACATTCTTTTATGACATAAGTTTTTTTTGTGTGGTACTTTATGTGGAACTCAGGGCTTGGTACATGCTAGAAAAGTTTTAACTTATGTTACCAAAGTAATAGACACTTAGAAAACATTTCAAAATACACAAATGAATAAAGAAAAATATGTTTTTATCCCTTCTCTTTCATCATACACCCCAGAGGTAACAGTGAGTTTTGTACCTAGGTTTTTATATCTGTTCAATCATACTATTCTAACTTTAATAAAATCAAATCCTATTTCATACAATTAAACCATGTATACTTTTTTTTTTTTGGTTGGTCAAGGGGCTTGATCTCTGGGCCTGGACACTGTCCCTCAGCTCTTCAGCTTAAGGCTAGCGCCCTACCCATGAGCTACAGGGCCACTTCTGGCTTTTTTCTGCTTATGTGGTGCTGAGGAATAGAACCCAGGGCCTCATGCATGCAAGGCAAGCACTCTACCACTGAGCCACCTTCCCAGCCCCATAAACCATACTTACTTTTAACAAAGCTAAATTATTTTACTTGAGAATATCTCAGCTACCTTCCCATGACATGAAGTAGCGATAAATCAGATTATTTTTTCAAGTTACATACTATGACATCATTTGGGTGATGGTGAAAGATTTATTATTTGCAGGTTAATCAATTTTAATGGGATCAAATGATCACACAATGACATTTTGTATATCTTCACACAGGGTATCTTGTATCTTTGTTGGGAATTTCAGAAAGCAAGCCGTGGGAATATTCATCAGCTGCAACTGGTGATGGGTATTTTAGTCTTTTGACTTCAGGCTTACTACCTTCTTTCTTCTTTCGCTGGCGATGACGCTTAGCTTTGTCATAATCCTCCCTGAACCGCCAGGTTTTCCACCCTTCAAGCATTGCAATAACATTCCGGGAGCAAATTTTGTTTCTCAGATACTCCTTGTATTCAGCTTGAGTTTCAAAATCCCTGCGATGTAAGAGATCTTTGCTGTAACTCCTCTTATCCTCCAGAAACTCCATCTTTTCCTTGTAGCTATTCTCCAGGGTGTCACTCACTGTGGTAGGGTAGCATTCCATATATGAGTTGGCTGTAGTATAATGGTCTCCCAGGTGTTTCTTGAGGTCAAGCTTCTTTAGGGATTCAGTGCCTTCCAGAGAGGACTGGATGTTCATGGACTTCATCAGTTTCGTGGTCGACTCCAGTTCTTTTTGGAGAGCTATTCTGGATTTCTCAAGGGACCGAAACCTTCTTCTCTTCGCTGTCTTGAAGGCTTGATCTCGAAGCCACTCTCGGTTCAGTTCCTTGTTTCTCTCTGCAAGGTATTCCCTGGATCTCGCCATCATCTTGTCCCATGATGTCTTGGGAATAGGAGTCATACGGTCCTCAATGTTGTAAAAAGTGCTGCTGGCTTCAAAAGGTCTCTTCTCGCCTTGATCCTTCTTCCTGTATTTCTTACTGTAGGTATCCTGCCCTAAGTGTGAAAACACCTGGGTGAGCTTGCTGATGATGGTGTCACTTGTGTTCACAAAGGTTTGAGGCTCCACGCTGGGACAATCGGCCTTGTCTCGGATCACGGTGAGAGGGATATCCGATTCAGCGTCATCATTCAGGTTTACCAGGTAGGCCATGCGGCCTGGAAGGAACAATTTGTTCGGCTCGGCATCAGGCTTGTTCTTCTGGAATAGTGCTTGGTAGATAGTACGACCCAAGGGTGTTTGCAATTCAGGCTCCTCGTTGTTATCAGATGTACTCTGAGCCTTTTCCATCAGCCTCCTTTCTTTGTTAGCGGTTTCCGATCGAATTCTTTGAAGCAAAGCAACATCCTTCCCTTTCCCCAAATGGGTGTGTTCCAGGTCACCCCCCTGGATGAATTGCTTTTGCTTCTCTGTGTTTAATTTGGTGACACCCAGGGTGGCACTCATAGCTCGACGGTAGATCCCAGTGGTACAGATCGGCTGGCTTTCCTCGTATTTCCTGCGCATTCTCTCTCTCCATTCCTTGGCATAATCTCCATACTTCTCGCCTGGCTCCTTACCTCTCTCCAATCCCTGATAATAGTACCTGGTAGAACTTTTCTTCCATCTTAATGGAGCCAATTCTTTATCTTCTTCACATTCTTCTGAAATCTCAGGGTAATGAGACTTACAGGGGGAGATCCCGCGAAGTCTTCGCAAGTCGTCATTAGTAAGTTTGGATTTTAGAAATGAAAACGGCCCGTCTCCATGTTGGCCTCGTAGGGCCCAAGAGTCAGGGAACAGCTTAAAATCTTGCTTCTCCATCCCATCCAGCAAGGGCAAAGGCCCAGGCCCTCACATGGCCTTAGCCACAAGCTCCCTCCCAGAATGCATTGCGGAAACACCTCATAATGCTCTGTGGAACGTCTCAGGACGCTTTGTCATCCGGGGCTTTCTGCTCCCACCCCCCCCACCCTCCGCGCAACGTCACAACCAGAGCACCATGAAGCCGGAAAAGGGTCATTTTCTCTCTTTTTCGTTTCTTTCTCCCTCCCTCCCTCCTTTTCTTCCTCCCTCCCTCCCTCCTTCCTTCCTTCCTTCCTTTTTCTTTATTTTTTCCTTTCTTTCTTCCATACCCTTCTCTTCCTTCCTTCTTTCTTTGCCCTTTCTCTCTCCCTCTTTTCCTTCTCTTTTCTTTCTTTCTTTCTTTCTTCCTTCCTTCCTCTCTTTCTTTCTTCCTCTCTTTCTTTCCTCCCTCCCTTCCCCCTCCTCCTTTCTCTCTCTTTCTCTCTCTCTCTCTCTTTCTGGTTCTGGGGCTTGACTCAGGACCTGGGCACTAAAGGCTAGCACTCTACCTCCTGAGTCACAGCTCCACTTCTGGCTTTAGGGTAGTTAATTAGAGACAAGAATCTCAGGAGCTGGGCTAGGAATGTGGCTTCTCGGTAGAGTACTTGCCTAGCATGCATGAAACCCTGGGTTCAATTCCTCAGTACCACATAAACAGAAAGAGCTGGAAGTGGCACTGTGGCTCAAGTGATAGAGTGCTAGCTCTGAGCAAAAGAAGCTCAGGGACAGTGTCCAGGCCCTGAGTTCAATCCCAAAACTGGCAAAAAAAATCTCAGGAGCTGGTTACTGGTGGCTCATGCCTGTAATCTAGTTACTCAGAAGGTTGAGATCTGGGGATCATAGTTCGTAGCCATCCCTGGCAAGAAAGCTTGTGAGATGCTTATCTCCAGTTAACCAACAGAAAGTTGGAAGTAGAGCTGTGGCTCAAAGTGGTCAAGTGCTAGCCTTGAACAAAAAAGCTCAGAGACAGCGCCCAGGCCCTGAGTTCAAGCCCCATGACTGACAAAAAAATCTCACAGACTTTCCTGCCCTGGTTTATTTCAAACCTTGATCCTGTGATCTCAGCCTCCTGAGTAGCTAGGATTACAATGGCACCCAGCAAGGGTAATGTACTTTAAATACAGGTTGTGTGTTAGGTGTAAACATGGGTGCTATTTAGTTTACGGTACCCTGTTGGGAAGTTAATAATACTCTTAATAGTTTTAGTCAGAAGTCACCCTCCATATATTTCATCTAGACTATTTTTAGCTCCTTTCCATACCCCAAGTTTTGCTAGCGACCATAAACTGAAAAGAATTACTTATTAGAAACAGGCTGCTAGCTGGGCTATGGTGCACACCAGTAATTTTAGCACTGGGAAGGCTGAGTGAGATAGGAGGATTGCAGCAAGAAGATCATGAGTTCCATGCAGAGACAGAAAAAAAATCAAGAAAGGAAGAAAAGGGAGAAGAGAAAGGGAAGGGCCACAAAAGAGGAAGAGGGATAAAGAAAAATAGAAGTAGAAAAATAAAAACGCAATCAGTTCTTATTGGGGGGGTTTGGTTCACTGGCAGAAAGCTTGGCAAGCATACCCAAAATGCAGGGTTGTAGTCCCAGGACAGAGAAGAGGACAAACAGACAAAACAAATTAAAAAAAAAAACTCTTATTGCTGCATCAGGAAGTATTCAAGGGATATAGTTGTATTGAGACAGACCTAGTTTGTGCTCAGTAGCGCCCGTGGCTAAATCTCTATTGGATTTTTCTTCTAGCCATGAATTTAGACAGTCTGATTCTCAGATGTCACCTACAAAGCTAACAGAAACCTTTTTGCAGAAAACTTGAGCTGTTGCCTCAAACCAAACCTACGTGTGAGAACCAAGAGCTGGAGTCCCTCAGAATCCACTGAAGAGTTTTGTGTGGCTGTAGCTGTGCCTGCTTGTGAACATGTCTGTGGTTTATTTGTGCTGGAGACCCACTTCCCTTGTCACCTGTGAGCAAGGTAAGGATGCCCAGCTACCTGAAACTGATGGTAACTCCAAGAATGCCTCATGTGTTTCTGGCCCAAAGTGTTGAAGTCATTTCATAACATAATGCATCAAGATCTTGTTTTTCCCAGACCTGATTCAGCAGACATTGAAAATGCTTCCAGTATTTTGCCTTTACAGTGCCATCCATTTCTGCATGGATCATTTTTAATCATTGCAAAATATGCAAATATATATATATATAGAGAGAGAGAGAGAGGGAGAGAGAGAGTCAGTTGTGGAGCTTGAACTCAGGGCCTGGGCGATGTCCTTCAGCCTCTTTGTGCTCAAGGCTAGCACTCTACCACTTGAGCCACAGCACCACTTCAGCTTTTTCTGAGTAGTTTATTGGAGATAAGAGTCTCATGGAATTTTCTGCCCAAGCTGGCTTCAAACAATGGTCCTCAGAGCTAAGTAGCTAGGATTACAGGTGTGAGCCAGCTCCTGGCACAAAATATTTTCGTATCTTATAATTTGGCCAGATTTGCCCTTTGAATCCAGGTCTGATTAATAGCCAAAGTCCAAGTCTCTCCCAATATTTCTAAACAGAGTTCTCTGAAACATTGAACCTGAAGAGAAAGTGCTAGAAACTAATGATAGATGGTGCTGTTTTCCCAGTTCCTCTTTGAAATTCTCATCCAGACCTCAATTGACCTTTTACCTCTTTGGGTTGGCTTCAATGATTGACCATCGTTGTTACAGGTATGGTTTTCCAAAAGAATATAGATGAAATTCTGTTGTTATAAAATATTTTTCAAACCTAGTATGGTACAAGGCTCAGAGTGTTGGTATATGGAATTCAATGTAACCTAACACTAAGCAATATATTTAAGGTCCTGACTAATAATTCAAAGTATCATATACACTGTGGAAGGCTACAGTGTCTGTGCTGCCTGTATTACATTCACTGTATTGTATTCTTGTTCCCACCAACCAAAAAAACAGACCTGGCAAACCTGCCAGGAAATGGCAAATAGAGGTTAATGACACTGGGCAGGAATATTATTATTCTAATTTACCAGGAATAGTGCCAATGAATACAACAAAACATCTTTAAATTATATACATATATATATATATGTATATATATATATATATATATATTGTTGTTTGTTTGTTTTTTTCCAATCCTGGGGGCTTAAACTCAGGGCTTGGTCGCTGTCCCTGAACGTCTTTTGCTCAATGCTAGCACTCTACCACTTGAGCCACAGCTTCACTTCTGGCTTTTTCTGAGTAGCTTTTCGGAGATAAGAGTCTCATATCCTTTTCTGATTGGGCTGGCTTCAAACCACAATCCTCAGATTTCAGTCTCCTGAGCAGCTAGGATTACAGATGTGAGCCACTGATATCTGGCAAATCTATCCTTTTGAGACAAGAGATTTTTTTTTTTTTGGGTCCGGTCGTGGGGCCTGAACTCTGGGCCTGGGCGCTGTCCCTCAGCTCTTCAGCTCAAGGCTAGCGCTCTACCACTTGTGCCACAGCACCACTCCAGCTTTTTTCTTTTTGCTTATGTGGTGCTGAGGAATCGAACCCAGGGCCTCATGCATGCAAGGCAAGCGCTCTACCACTGACCTACCTTCCCAGCCCGAGACAAGAGATTTTGATGTGGATTTGTACCTTCATTATAGTGTTTCATAATCTGTGTTACTAAAAACTAGGCCAGATTTTGCAGTATGTTTAAATTATTTTGGAAAGCTTGATACTTACATTAATAATCAAGTGTGTATATAATATCATTTTAATATTGGAGTCTTTTTTGGGGGGAGCTGGTCCATAGGCCTTGAACTCTTGGCCTGGGTGATGTCTCTTAGCTCTTCAGCTCAAGGCTAGCACTCTACCACTTGAGCCACAGCGCCACTTCTGTTTTTTTTTGGTGGTTTATTGGAGATAAGAATCTCATGGAGGGGCTGGGAAGGTGGCTCAGTGGTAGAGCGCTTGCCTTGCATGCCTGAGGCCCTGGGTTCGATTCCTCAGCACCACATAAGCAAAAAGAAAAAAGCCGGAAGTGGCGCTGTGGCTCAAGTGGTAGAGCGCTAGCCTTGAGCTGAAGAGCTGAGGGACAGGGCCCAGGCCCAGAGTTCAGGCCCCACAACCGGACCCAAAAAAAAAAAAAAAAAAGAATCTCATGGACTTTCCTGCTCAGGCTGGCTTTGAACTGCTATCCTCAGATCTCAGCCTCCTCAGTAGCTAGGATTACAGGCATTAGCCACTGGTGCCTCACCAAAAGTAAGTTTTCTCTTTTCTGGTCCTCCAAAATATTTCATCATGTGGGCTGGGAATGTGACTTCCTAGTAGAGTGCTTGCCTGGCATGCATGAAGTCCTGGGTTCAATTCCTCAGTACCATGTAAACAGAAAAAACTGGAAGTGGCATTGTGGCTCAAGTGGTAGAGTGCTATCCTTGAGCAAAAGAAGCTCAGGGACAGTGTCCAGGCCCTGAGTTCAGGTCCTAGGACTGGCCAAAAATAAAACAAAAATATTTCATCATTGTATTGTATTATATTGCTTACTTTTTGACAGGGTCTCTATGTAGCCCAAGCTTGCTTAGAACTCTCAAATCCTTTTGCCTCTGCCTCTTGAGTGCTGGGATTATAGGTGTGAGCTACAATTTTATCCTTTA